AAAACTGCGCAGCCCAGCAGCAGATAATAATGAACATCTAGTTCAATCAGTGGCAAATCAATTCGGAGTTAGCATACCCGAACTGTTGTTGCCGTCCAAACTCTATAACTTAAGCCTCTTATGCTAAACAAATTATGGTGATTAAGAGTTTTTCATTTTAAAAATAAAAAATCGAATCATTTGCTTCATATTTCCTTAAAACGATTGAACTCCTTCATATTTAAAAGTAAAGTATTTAGGATACAGATAATACATTTTTCAAAGTGTACTTTTTAAATCTTTCTAATAAGGCATATTTTATTTAACTCAAAAATAGTGGCTATCAAATAGTTATTTTTATGAGAATTTAAAAATATATTTTAAATATTTGCTTTGGCTTAACAAATAGTGGTTAAACTTCAAATATAAATAAGGTATATAAGGTAAACATTATATTTGAACATTAGTAAATTTGATCTAGGGATGCTCCCCTGTTTCGTGAGCTGCAATGTTGTCAAAACAGATGCATTCAGTTTCCTTCAGACTGCAGACATTGACCCTGACGACCCGCATCTGCCCATATGCCTTGCGCACCTATCTCTACATCCCGTTCCCATCCCCCTTAACAGCTCGAAACGGGAGGGCACCAATGCAGTTGAGGGTGGTTTTTACAAAGGTCATTGGGCTTGTTCAGACGCCAGTTCAGGCGGAGTTCGGTGCAGCATTCTCTTGGAATTTTCGCTACTCAGTGTCAGTGACGCACCCTCTACCTCCTCCATCCCCCTCTTCCGGCTTCTAGCGCAGCTTTAAGGCCAACACTAAAGAAAAACAAACAGAGCCAGAGGTGGGAACAAAAAAGCTGCAGCGAATGGCATGCAAAACACAAACGCAAATCGCGAACCAAAATGTGAAAATAAGTTGTTCACATTCTTGCTTGCTGGCTGCTAAACATTTGCCTACGATAAGATTGCGCCTTTTTCCCCTTTTTCGCTTCCACTCCACTCCACTCCTAACTCTTCCTCTTTCTCTCACTTAAGACAAGTGAGCAAATATTTGCGGATCCGAGAAAATTCTCCAGGTAACTCTAAACCCAAAAGTGCAGGTCTGGTTGACCTTTCTGCATCCTTCTTGCCGAAATGTCAAAAATATAAATTATAAATACACATGTAAATTTAAATGCAGATTATTGTAGCATAAAACAAGGAAAAGGCAATCTTCGGCAAGCCGAATTTAATATATACTTGCCGGTTTTACAAACATTAATTATTCAACCGACTATATTTTGATTTTAATGCGTATATGTTAACAACAATGAAGCTATGACAATTATTCGACAATTAATCGGATCTAAGAGAAAATTGTAGCATCATACAAATGACAAAGAAATGAGCAAGAATTAAAATCCTAAATTCAAATACTAATTAACAGATGATTAATTTATAATAAAATAATAGGACATGCAATAAAACAGATATATATTAATCAAGTGACGATTAAAAATGACAATTTAAAGGTCTTTAGAAGCTGTTTAGATAGCTGAAATAATTGAAGCTCTTTTGTTAACAATCGATTCTTCGTTATCAATTGTTGTAAACTAACCAGACTGGCGCTTCAATTATTTCAATCAATCACACGCAACCAATCCTATCCAAAAACAAACACAAATGTTCGGTTGCCTAGAAATGGTTGCGCCAACCATATTCAGATGGTTGCATGTCAGGGAACAAGTTCACGTAGAAAAGATCAGGGCAGGCAAGAGATGAACCAGAAGTTAGGAAGAGAGTCGTTTTCTTTCCTTACACAGACAAATAATTCCTGATAAAGTTATGTATTTATACAATTATAATAAAAGTAATTAATATATTCTTCTATGTATTATCGATTACTTTTGTAAGGAAAAGTATCCTCTTAGTATTTTCCATCAGTATGTCTTGAATATATATAAGTCTTTAATTAAATAAATATATTTACTATACACTGCCACCCATAATTGTCCTCTTTTTTCCAGTGAAAAATCCATTCAATTTCAATTGCTAACAGAAGTGGAACTTAAAGACTGGGTAGATCCATTTGGATCTTTTGAGCACTTTCTTGGTACTTGGTCTTTCAACGCCAGTCGCAGAATCCAAAAGAATCCAAAAAAGAGCGTGACTGCCTGGCTCTCTTCTATTTTTAGCCATTGTTCGATCCTCGTCTGCTAATAGATCGCGGCAATAATTTAATGGACATCCTACCGCACTCACCGGTTGCACTCTGCTTTCAAAGGGGGATTATTCGTCTCTTGATTTTCTCCGTCGTGATGCCTTTAAGTCATGCGAGAATCGAGACCATCATCTACGCCTTATAGGGACGGTGCTACTAACGCCACCACCCACCTCCCGCGACCGTTCTCCAACCCACATATGGAGGCCTGGCCATGACTTGGATTTATATTTAGTTCGCTTCCTGCTTCTGCCACTCGAGATGGGAAAACATGGAAATGAAAATGGATCGGGAGGGGGACTATTAATGAGAAGACCACATGGAGCAGGGAAATGTTTGTTGAATGTTGCTGAACTCGTATTGATTGCACTCTAGTATCTCGTGATCTTCCTGGTCGAACTAAACTCAGTGAGAGAAACAACATTTTGAAGTCCGGAACACTTCTCGACTTTCAAATCATACTTTGAGGCCTTATTTGTAATATCATCTTCCAGCGCTGCATATACCAAAATTAGTCAACGGCATCTTAAGTGTTTGGCTTTCTTATCGTTTTCTATGCCGCTCGGCATAAAATAAGATTTTGAACTTAACTTACAAAAATACTCTTGGAAGAGTTCTTTTAATAATTGGTTTTGAAAAAACTTGTAAGTTTATTTTAGTCGTGTATTATTTATTTGTACCCTTGCAGAGGGTATTTAATAGAAAACGAAAAATAGTAAGTAATCAGAATAGAACAAAAAAGCAAACTTCCACAAGACGATGTTTAAATAGCCTTTTTTATTAGGTAAGAGTAAATTAATCTTCTTTTCTGGATCTCAAGTGTACATTACATAGATAAGCCTGAAATGAAGCTGCTCTACAAAGTGTAGAAAGTGAAAAGTAGTTTCAACGAACCGCACAAACCACAAAACAGGAGAAGCTTCCAGAGAAGGGAGAGCCTAAAGTTCCGGGTCTGAGAGAAAAGTGCGCAATTAATCAAATCAGTTTTGCCTAGTTCCAACTGCTGGGCAATTTGAAAACAACACTAATTGAGACAACTGCGGCGAATTGTCGAGTTTTTTATTCTGCATAGCTACACGTGTGACTGGTAGTCCGGGCTATTCTTTCGTTATAGGGCTTCTTTCCGATTCAATTGGACAGAGGAAGATATAAAGAGAACGGGAGTGAATTTTGCATCTGAACTTTTGTAACCTGCGGGGCGATTGAAAAGTTTTAATAGTTAAGAGCAGTAAAAGGGTATGGTCGAAATTAATATCCATGTGGATATTTGAAATGATCTCAGGCTGATCTTACACTTCACACTAAATTTGCATAAATTTTAATTGATCCGGGGTCTAGTACGTGTTAAATCAATCTATAGTATATCTGGCTCGTGTAACACAGCGAAAAAATTAATGTCATCACTCGCGTTTCTCAGTTCAGTTTTATCTAGCGGCGATTGATTAAATGAAGTGTTCCAATTCCGATTCCACTTCTTTATTAACAGTTTTATGAGTCCTCACGCAGTCCTCTGCCACTCCACCTCCGTCGACATCCAATTTGTGCTCCCAATTGTTTCCCCATTGAAAGCGTTTTAGTTTATCGCCATGAAATTATATCGCAGATTTTGCAGATTTCGACCAATAAACTTTATGGACCGCGGCAGCAGCGGCTGTTGCTATTGGGTCTTCCCAGTGTTTTCCGAAACCGTTAGAGTTGGAAGATCTAAGCGGAGTTTAATTGACGTCGCCAAGCTATTAATGCTAATTTGAACCGATTTGGTTCAAGATGTTTAAAGAACCTTGGTGAAGAAATGAAATACAATAGCAAGCCGAGCACAAAGAGAAACCGATCGAGAAGAATCGGTTTTACGCATATTCGGGGCAGGCGAACCAAGAATCAAGCAACCGAAACTCTGAAATTAATTATTCTGCCGCCTGTTCAGATCTTGGTGCCCATTCAAGCACTTCTTACTTTTGCCAAGGTAAGCTTAAAATTAAAAAGAATTAAGGCGAAACGTGGGATGTATGCTACATGACTCCTCCGGCTTAAAATCTGATTTCGCAATTCTCCGCAGTGCGACTTGGGAATGTTTTCGTGTGTTTCAACAAACTCATAAACAAACACCTAAAAAGGGCAGTCTCATACCTCTCGTCTTTCAAAACAAAAAAACTCCAATGAATAAGAAACAAAACAAAACAAAACAACGGATAAAGTGCGATAACTTAGCGTCAACTTCGATTTTCGACTATGGCTTTGCTTCCTTTGAGGCGGACTTTCTGTTCCTGCCCGAAAACAGTGGTATTCACCAGAGCGTATCGCCACGCGCGTGGTGAGGATGATGACAAGGAAAACGAGAAGGACGCAGTGGACTTTTTTGCACTGTCGCATCCCAAAGAAGGGCAGCAGGCAACTGCCTTAATTTTTGGGTAGGCGGTTGCCAGCTGGCAAAAACAGAAGGCGAAATGCAAAGATGGTTTCGGTTTCAAAGGTTCCTGAATCCTCTACTGAAAAAGTGTAATGTTTAGTTTAATACACTTACAAATCTTCTACTGTCTATTTCCATTTTAACAAGGTAGTAAAAGCTTCACAAATAATCAAAAATCTAAAATTTCTTTAAAATGTTTAATATTATTAATAATGGCGCATTACGATTTATGATAATGGCTAATAAATTGCTTACTGTAAACATAAGATTAAAGAAATAGCCAAATTTGATTTGATTGATTGATTGATTTGAAATAATTTAAGTGTGAAAAGAAATAGAAAAATCTTTAAAGAGCAATTTAAAAACGCATTTAAGAAAAATAAAAAACCTTATTACTAGATATATCTTACAGACTTTATCTTATCTTGGGTTATCTATTATTTAAATTTATAGCGACAGATCTAGAAAGATAAATGCTGGGGATATTAATGATGCAGATTAAAGTCCTGAGTTCATTGCCAAGATCGTTAGCCAAGCCTTTTCTTATTCTCCTTCTCCTCCTTCTTTTCCGCCTGCGCTTAAGCTTATCCTCATTTTTGAAGCCGGCATGAGAATTGATTGTTGTTGCTGTGTGAGCTCATCGTTAAAGTCACTGGCCACGCCCCAAAGTGACGGCATAGGCGCCAAAAGGAGTTGGAGTCGCTCCTCTCTCTCTCTCTATCTCTCTCCCTCGCTGTCTTGCACATTTAATGCCTACTCCAGAGAGATATGTATCTCAAGGACGCACTCAAAAGAGGCACGAGTGGGCGGTTGGGAGGGGATGTACAGGGACGTTTGCACGGGGTCATGGCCGTGAGTCACGCTTATAGCCGTTCGCAAAAACGTGAGTTAAAAATTTCGTAAGCCCAACTCTAGAAAAAATTCACTTTAGTGGGCAAAGGAAGCAATTCAAATATTTATAACAAAACAAACCAATCTTTAAGGGTGACGAAGAATGGGTGGGAGGAGGAGTCCAGATTGTGCAATATGAAGACAGTTCGTTCTCTTTCTTTACGGCTTAGGTAGATTTGGTTTTGCTGTTTTTAATCGCGACTTTAATTTGGTCTCCGTTCAGCCGTAGGCGTGTCGTATTGTTGTAGATGTAGTTGTTTGAGGTGGTTGTTGTATGGCCACTACCGGAGGTTTATTAGGCTTTTTAAAGTAATTAAACACGCTAGCTTACCTCACGAAAATTTGTAGATAATTTTACAGCATTAATGCAGCTGCGTTTTTGTGGTAGTATTTGTTGTTGCTTTAGGAACAACTAACAGGGAAGAAAAAGCGGGGGAGTGAAAGAGAAAGCAATAGCAGCCGGCTGCTGCACACACACACACACACACACACACACACACACACAATATTACGCACAGGGAAATGTTATTGATTTTTCACACTCATACATTAACGGTAAACAGGAGCTGTGCGGAGATAATGGCGAAATCAGAGCGTAGGGAAAAATATTGGCAATTTGCAACACAAAGTAAACAAAATATGTGCATATTTTGCACCCCCGCTAAAACGGGACTCACTAGAGGGCTTTATTTTTTTCTCTTTTTCTCACGCAACTCCTCTCTGCTCCTTTTATTTGTAACCGGAGATTAATTAATGTACGCCTTCAAAAAACAAGGCCGTTCACTATGACAAAAAGAAATTCACAAAACTATTTGCAAACTGGCAAATCATTTGCTGTGGGGCAGAAGGTGCGACTACCGTTATCCCCAGGGACTTACTTTTTTCCGGCGTGCCATTACTTTTGGCAGGAGCCTTGTTTTAGCGCAACTAACTAACCTTAACTAATCCGACTAGTTTTGGGTCTGCAGTTCGCGAACTTCGCCATATATTTGCACTCGCGCAAACGTTTTTAACTTTTCGAACTTTTCACTGCGAATTCAAAATACGAATGAGCGCAAAGCGAACAGTGATAACCCGAATTTGATAAAGACATTAGAGGTGGAAAAAGATCGATGCCAATACGATGACATCGATGTTTTCAGAACATCGGTCTTATCGATGTTTGGCGGCGCAACATCGATGTTTTTCCGTTTCTACTCTGCTTTCCCACAGAAATGTTAGAAAAACGATGACCTAACATAGAAATGTTTGATTAAGACCAGGCGAATAACTGTTGACAAAAACCAATAGTTATGTTAAAAGTTGAAAAACTAACAAAAGTTCTTGAAATCATTAAAATTATGATTTACTTGTGTATATGTTTATAAACATTGAAGTTATGATGATTTACAGCTCAATTATTCGATACTTCTTAGGGCAGCAATATAATATCGTTTTTCGATTTTAATAGAATTAAGAGCGTAATTCTTAACTGTAAAATTATAAAATCATTAATTATATTGTCGAAGAACTAAAAAAAATATTATAAATCAGCAAAGTTATAATTTTTTTTATTAATTTTTGCGATTGTTCCTTTGGGAGCTACATGCTATAATCGTAATGTACTACCTGCAATAGAAAGACAACTTTTGGGAATGTTTCATGCAGATAGCTTTAAAACTGAGAGACCAGTTTGCGTAGAAACGGACGGACGGACTGATCGACTCTCCTAGTGATACTGATCAGGAATATATATACTTTATAGGGTCGGAACTTCTGACTGAAATTACACTACCCTCTGCAAGGGTTAATATATGTTAATTAAACAGAATGGGTAAAACACTAACAGAAATGCTAAAAACAACAACTTTAAAGTTTTGTTATGTTAAAATGTTAAAAAAACTAACAGAAATGTTACAGGTAACATTTTGCTACCAGAAATGCTAGAAATCTAACAGAGATGTACAGAAATACTTACGACCACAACGCAGTGTTGACGAATACCAATAATCCACAAATCTTGCAACACTGCAAAGTGCCTGTCCGAGCTAAGTCGATTTGGCGGTCTGGCAGCTACGTTTCGAAACGGTAAATGGTTTAAAGTTTTTTTGCCTCACGTGTTCGTCTTATTCGTGGTTTTTGTTTGTTAATTAATTAAGTTTCTGGCGCACAATGCTGCTGTTGCACTTGCTGCTCTGGCCAGCACTAATAGCCAGTGTCCCCTCGCCGCCCTCCGCCTCCCAAAAAGCGGAGGTGGCCAAACTGCGCGACGAACTGGAGAAAGCTCTGGAGGAAGACGGTGGAGCACCCGTAGGTAGATTCCGTTTTAGGCCACTTTCAATTGACTATCCCAGTATATTTTAGCCGGGTGTGGTGGTGGCACCTGGCTGGACTCAGCAGGCTGGTCGACCGCTCCCCGGTAAGGCCTCCAAAGTGGTGGTGGACCACTCGTCGCTGGACAGTGCCGCCGCCATTCGCCAGGAGATTCAGCAGGCGGTAGCTCGCCAGGGACAAAACCCGGAGGTACAGCAGCTGGAGGCGCTGCTGAAGGCCAGGGGAAGCACCAAGGAGACCCCGGTTCAGGTGGGCAGCAGTCCCCGTGAGGAGCTGCTGGGGGCAGCAGGAGAAGATCGCCAGGAACTGGGAGCCAATCTGGTGGATTCGCGCTCGGCATCGCAGAGCATCGATCTGGAGCAACTGCAGCGCTTGGAGCTCTCCAAGAGGCGGACCCGCGACATGCTCACCTTGGGTCGCATAGAGGAGCTGCTGAACTTCAGCCTGCCCGCGGGTGTGAATCACTGGCTGACCCTGCAGGCTAATGGAAGCGTCTATCTGGTGGGCCAGCAGATGGATGGCTTCCTGGTGCTGACTGGCGAGTTCAACCCTTTGCAGACCTTTGCCCATCCCTCTCCCGTGGCTGATTTTCTTGGACTGGATCGCTGGAACAGCCGGAATCATGTGCAGGAGGGACTGCTGGTGGTTGCTTCCCAGGATCAGCTCATCTGGCTGCGCTTGGAACCCAGTCTGGGACTGAAGGCCTTCTGGCACTGGTCACTGGGCTTTGCTCTGAACAAGATAAGCGCCTTCAGCCTGGAAGGACGGGATTTCCTGGCCCTCGTCGGAAACCACACGCTCAGCATTTACTCCTATGACCTGGAGGTGGAGGAGTTCTGGATTGTACAGCGCCTGCAGCTGACGGAGACGATCTCCGACTTGGCCATTCTCGATACAGGCAGGGAACTTCTCCTGGCTGTGGGTCAGTGGGATGAGGCCTTAATATACACGTGGAGCTCCAAGGGGGAGCCGCTGCAGCTGCGCCAGCGAATTGGGGCACCCGAAGTGACCGCCATTACTGCCTTTCAAATGGGCGGTCGGAGCTATCTGGCTCTGGGTGGGATACTGCCCCAGATTCTGGTATATATGCAGGGCAAATTTATACCCCGCACCATACTCGGACAGAACTTTGGCCTTGTAGAGCACTTCCTGCCCGTCCCCGTTCGCAGCTATCGCGATGACCTGCTCCTGCTCGTCCAGCACCGAGTTGTCTTCGACCCCCACTTCCTGCTCGTCCTGGAGGTTCTGGTGTGGAACGGGGATGCCTTCGAGGCGGGCTTACCACCACCTTGTGGTGTGACCAACACCTATGGCGCTGGCTGCATGCTAGATCAGGAACAGGAAACTGGCATCCAAGGAGCGACCCTGCTTCGTCAACTGGATCAGCCGCCTTTGGTGTTGGTGCCCAGGAAGCAGGCTCCTTCGGGCCTCTTTCGCCTGGAAGCACAACTTCTGGCGAGGAATTCGGAGACACACGACCTGCAGGAGATCAGCCAGTTCATGCAGGAGTGGGTGCACGAGGAGGAGGAGCTAATTCAACTAGTTGGGGAGCTCTTGATTGAAGATGACCAAGACAGCAAGCACTACGAAGCGGTATCCACTCCTTTGGTGGTCAGCGAGGGCGGAACCATCGAGGAACTCTTTGTGAACAAGATCCGCTGGACGGGTGCAGATGCTGTCCTGAATATGCATGATATGCTGGAGCAGATTCGCCTGTTGGACCAAGACCTCAGTCCCAAACGATCGAAGCGCCACCCCGAGGCGCTCTTCAATTTTCACTACGAGCAATTGGAGGTGGATGCCATTGAATCTGCGGAGCTCGTCCTAGATCGACTTAACCATGTGCCTTTCTATATCCAAAACGCATCCCTGGAGCTGCCGCTGCGAACCCTGAATGTGCAGCAATTGGAACTGTTGAAATCTTCTAAGGAGGAGCCTGTTTCAGTCATGGGCACAGAATCCCACGAGGCTCTGGAGCTAGCTGGGGACTTTGACTGCATCTTTATTAATGGAATTGAGTGGGACAAACTGCTTCAAGAACTGGTGTGGCGGCATCGGCCCCTAAAGATCTCTCAGTTAAACGTAGAAGGAGTAAGTTAAACTGGTACCTTGGAAAATTGTTTTTGCATAACTTTTTCAGGTTTTTATAAGGATAATATTTGTCAAACTAATATCTTACGCGATGATGTTTGAATTTGAAACTCCAAATTTTTTTATAACAACATTTTTTTATTTTCAAAGCACCACAAACATTCAATTATTAACGCTATGACATTCAAACTCATCTTTGCCCAAATGGCATATACTTGAACAAAAATGAAATCTCTGAAAGTATTAACGTAATCAATTTGAAACGTTTATGGTAAACCCATGTAATCCCCTACAGCCAGTCATCTTTGAGGATGCACTGTATGTGAACTCTCTCAACGACCTGAGCTTCCCAGGAGACTTTCTCTGGTCGCAGGAAAATGAAACAAGTGTTGTCCAGGCGCCCAAGGAGTTTACGCAAACGCTCTGTAAGTAGTTTAGCTTTTCAAACGACATTTTTTGTAATTAACAAATGTTCAATAGCTACCAATGTCGTGGACACTTCAGGGACCATTAACGGAGTGAATCTTCAGGATGTCATCACCCTCAGAGATTCGCATGACTGGCCGGGGTGGGTCACCTTCTCTCACCTGGAGGTTTCTGAAGAATTGGAGGTGAATAAATTGGCAGCACCCAGTCGATGGTCATTAATAATCCCTTGCGTATCCTAGATTAACGGCAGTGCCCAGGGACGCCTGTTCGAGGAGGCGCCTTTAAATCCCACTCTGCTGGAGTCGCGTATTATCCATTCCGACTGCCATTTCGACCAGCTTTTTGTGAAAGGACCTGTACGCATGCTTGGAAATCTGGATAACGACAGCTTTGACTCCCTCCTGGACGATCTTGTCCAGCGTGCGCCCGACTCCGGCCAGGAACTGCTAATAGGTGGAGGCAAGCGACTGGACCAGCTGCTTATGCCAGTGGATGCCCATGTGGCAGACAATCAGCTGAGTGGGATTCCCCTCACTGACTTTGTGACTAAGCATACGCCGCAAACTCTTCGAAATCTCACTCAGCTAGGAGGATATGTTTACTTCCACCAGCTGCAGATTGGTAAAGGCTTCTCCTACGATGGAGTTCGCCTGCACGAGCTCCTTTCCAATAGTCTGCGACTCGATGGGTCACCTCCTCTGATATTCCCTCTCACGCGTTTTCGGTTTGTTGGGTCTCCTCCCGAACTCGTCCGTCTGCTGGTGGGCCACAGTTTGAACCAGCGGCCGCTGTCCAGTGACTACCACCTGCTCCACGAACCGCTTTATCTGAACAGAGTCCACTTCAGTCGCCTGGAGGCAGAGCAGGCTGAAGTGACTCATGATGTGACTGGTAGCGGACTCCTCAACGGACAGAGCCTGGGGAATCTTCTCCAGAAGCAACCTCGCACGTGGTCTGGCGGAGTCCACGTTCAGGAGTTAATCCTCCCCCAGGGAGTGCAAGCGAATCAACTGCAGGGCATAAAGGCGAACCTTTTCCTCGATTTCCTTCAGCAGCTGGACGAGCTGCCACTGCTGATTCTCCAGGGTCGGCTACAGGTTGAGCGCATCGCCGTCAGCGGATCCGTGCAAGTGGCGGGAGCCTTGAACAGGAGAGATTTAAATGAAATTCAACGGCAGGTGGTGTGGTTGGATAAACCCAACGAACTAAGGACGCGTTGGATCCTGCGAGAGTCTCCCCAGTTCCAGGGAAACCTGCAACTCCTAGGCAGTTTCAACGAACGCCTGTTCCCGGAATTGCTAGACGACATCGTGCTGCGCTCCGAGGGGCAAGAGGTGCTAATCGAGGGCACCAAAAGCTTCTTGGCTCCCGTACACGCGGAGGAACTCCATTTGGCTGCTGTGAATGGGATTCCCTTCGATCGTCTGGCCAACAAAGTGAATCCGCTAGACCTCACTCGAAATGTCCGTGTTCAGGGACGTCTCTTTGTGGAGGATCTAAGGCTAAATGGTCAACTGAACGGGGACACAGATTCGCCCGCTCAACTAGAACGACTGCTCCGCTGGGATCCGACATCGCGAACCTTCGTTCAGCGGGGAGCCGTTGAACTTCTACGCAAGGAGCTGGATCACCTAGTGGTGCGGGGCCACCTCGGGAACCGCTCCCGGGAGTCCCTCCCGGAACTCTTCGATCAGCTGATCTTCAAGCAGCAGCCCGGGTATCGTCTGCAAGGCCACAAGACTTTTACGGGCCGTGTTCGCATCGAACATGGGGCATACATCAATGTCATTAACGGCCTGAATCTGGAGCAGCTCCTGCGAGACCTAGTCTTTGTTGACTCGCAGGAGGAGGTTATACTGAAGACACCTGTTCGCTTTGCGGCTGCCGTTAAGATGGCGCACCTGCAGGCCGAGCGCCTTGTGCTCTCGGGGGAGCTGCTCAATGGATGCAATGTGAGCCAGTGGCTTCGCGACACAATTCGTGTGGATAACGACTTTAAAGCGCCCAAAGGTAAGTATACGCTTTTAAGCAATCTCAATTGGTAATGGGGCTTAACTTAAATATATTGTTCAGTCGCCTTCTCGCAAGGATCACTGGACGGGAATTCCCTTGACGTGGAGGAGCTTAACCAAGTGGATCTGTCGCAGGTGGTCACCCGACACACGGAGCAACACCTAGGAGATTCCCTAAAGGCCCAAGAGCTTTTCCTAGATGGGCAGCTGGTGGTGCGGGGCAGTGTCAATGGTCGAAATTTATCCGAAGAGTATGCGAACACTTTAATGGTGCGTTGACTATTGGCAGACCCACTCGAAATAAGCGTGAATCCTAAATACTTTTGTCCGCAGGTGAATCCTCATAAGAAGCAGCGCGTGGAGACGCCCCTTTTTATGTCTGGCATTAATGTCGTCGGATCCCTGAAGGTAACCTCTCCCGTCAAAGGTCTAAACCTGAGCGATGTGGCCCTTTTGGCAGAAGATCCCGTGCGCCTGCAGTCGCCGCTGTATCTGCACACCCTCAATGCGCCCTTTTTGCGAGCCGATCAGAACCTGAACGGATTTGATTTCAAGGATTGGCACGAACGAAGCTTATGGGCGCTGGGCAGGGAGCAGCAGGAGATCACCGGTAACTGGCGCGTTAAGAAGCTCCGGGTAAAACAGGCAGATGAGCTGCGCCCGCGTCGGCAGACTGCTGAGGAGAGCTACCGGGAGTTGTGCGAACGATTGGCCAGGATTCTCCTGCCCTACCAAGTTCAGAAGCTGCGAAATAGTTTCTCTCTAAGGCAGGAGCAGGATCAGGCGGATGTGCGTCGGGTCTTCGCCTTGGAGGCAGAAGGAGGCACCAGTTATCTGCTGATAAACGAGCACGGCTGCTGGACGCGCATCCATCGCTGGAATGGAACTGCGTTCGACCGATCCGGAGCCTTTCAGAGCGGACCTGTAGACGAGGTGGCTGCCTTGAGAGTGGGAAACAAAAGCTCAGGCCAGGAGTTCGCCTTCATGACTAGCTACGAGATGCCGGAGGATGAGCACGAGTCCAGCTGGAATTGCAGCGGAATGAAGCCCAATCTCTTGAGCTGGCAGATTGGCCAAAGAAAGGATACCAAGCAGATGGATATACCAGCGGACACCTTGAGGAATCTCAAGGAGCACCACGAAAAGCTCAAAAATCGGCCATTTGCGAACCCCAGTTACCAGCAGGGTATCAAATATCTTAAGAGCCCAACCATCGCATCCCAGCTGGGCTCAAAATGGCAAGAGGAGAAACAGAAACTGGATGCCTCGGAGCTGGCCAGGATTCGTAGACGCCTACTGGAAACCTTGGAGTTTCGGCTGCAGGCGGAGGTGAACATCACCCAGCTGAGTATTCCGGAGAGCGATCTATTTGACGAGCACTTGGTGGAGGATTTCCTGGAGCTAATGCGGCAGTTGCGAGTCCTGCGGCCCCGCCTGGAGACGGACACTCTTCCGCTGCCGGACACTCCGGCCAGAGTTCTGGCCGCACGGAGTGCCCAGCTCATCTGGCCCGTGCTGCAGCAGTTGCGGGGGCTTTCGAATGGCAGCGGCTCTGGGCACCAGGAGGAAGCTCTCGAGCAAACGCTGCTGGATGTGCTGGGGTTGGCCAACAATGGAAATGGCTCTGGAGCTGATGAGAAGCTGCATGCTGTGATTCAAAGATTGAGATCACTGAAGGATGAGCTCTATAAGCATGTTGAGGTGGGCCACGAAGAACCTGCAGCCTTGTCTTCGGACAGAGAAGAGCAGTTCCTGCCACTTCCAAACGTGGACATGCGGCCCCTTAGAACCCTCCGCCTGCACGTAGGTCCCACAAACCGGCCCCGGCTCCTCTACGCCCGGCTGACCGTGCTCACACCCACGGATGGCCCGCCTCCCACCACACCCTCGACTGCCCCAGCCGCCACCATCCAGCTGCACCATGCGAACGGGTCGCTCTTTCAGTCGCTAGCCGCAGAGCGTGGAGCTGGCCATCTGACCACCTTGCGCGTGCGGGATGAGACGCTGCTGGCCTTTGTGGAGGGCTGCTGCTGGGTGCGGGTGCTCCTCTACCGTGGAGTGCAGGGTTTCGTGGACTTTGCCCGTTTTCGCGCTCCCCACATCGCCGGTGGGCATCAAGACGGAGAGGTGCTGCAATTGCTGTCCCTCCGCTTGCCCCTCAATCGGCCACCTGGAGCCAAGTACCTATTGGCCGTGGTCCAGGCCCGAGGCGTCACGTTCTACGAACTGGTAATAGCCGGACTACTTGAACCGTGGCTTAAGTGCACATAACTGAAAATCTTTCGGAGGCCCGCCGGAATTCAATTTGTAATTGTATTCCTCTGTTTAGTGTGTTTCGAAATGGCTTTTTTGAAATCTCTCTCCTTTGTTAAATCTCTCATTATTATACTTGTTCTTCTAGATGTTAATGAAATGTTGGATTGTTATTAATGTTATTAAAGCTATAATAATGTTTACCAAAAAGTGCTTAGGCTTAGAGTTATGACCATTTGGGTTTTCTGTTATCACTTATGTGTACCTCAACAAGAAAATAGGATTTTTAAAAACTCCTTTTTGGGCGAGTTAAGAACATTAAGCAGTCCAAAGCTATTTGCTTATTAGAAGTCGCCTGATATTCCTTAACTATGTCGATATATCTTTATTTCAAGAGCTTTAGTTACACATATACATAGCATTAATTACGACTTTGTGCTTGACCTTGATCTCGCTGATTGACTCTTAAGCCTAGGCCCGACTTACGACTACGACTTACGACGGATTCTCGGATTCCCGGATCGCGAATCCCGAATTCCTTTTCCGAGGTGGAAGCAGATTTAGAGGACAGTGACTACAATAAATACATACACATTGGGATAGCAAACGGCTGGAAGAGGACGAGACAGCGGGGGAAACATATGTACAGCATATCCGGCCCGAAGGACCCTGCTACTAGGGAATCTTCACGGGCAGGAAGAGGCGCGGATCGCCGATCTTGGGGCTCAGTCGCACCACCACCTGATCATCGCTGTCGCCCACTTCGAGGAACGAGTTCCAATCGGCCAGGAAATAGAATCCGTTCTTCTTCTCCGGGGGCGGTGGCTCCTCGCTCACAGGGTCGGGTCCAAAGGAGTCGGCCAAATCGTCGAGCGATCCGTTCCGGGGCTCCTCTGTGGTGGTGGTGGTGGTGCTGGTGGTACTTGTGGTGCTCGCTGACTTCTCCTCCTCCTTGGCTGCTCCCTGAGTGTCCCCATCGTCGTTGTCCAAGCCCAGACTCAGACTGATCTTAGTGGGAGACTGGGTGGTCGTGGGCGGGTCTGGCTCCTTCTCCTCCTTCTCTGTGGTGGCATTTCCCTCACTCTGTCGCCTCGCCTTCAGGGTCTCATCCTGACCGTTTTGCAGGGACTGCAGATACGCGGCATCGGGACTGGGAGCAGTGGTCACCTGGTTCAGACTCACGTTGAGCTGTTGCAGCTCCTGGAGATTGCTGATGAGGCGCTGCAGCTCGCTGAGATTGCTCTTGGAGTCGTCCCTCTTCTCCTTGGGTGTCTCGGGCTCCGGCTTGGCCAGCTGATAATTGAGCTCACTGAACTCTGCCATTAGGTCGCCATCGAGCTCGCCCTCCCTGGCCTCGCCCTCGCCCTCGCCTCCGTCCAGATCTTCGACCTCGCCCTCGTCGCTGCGCCGGCGAAAGCCCAGTCCCTTGACCACCCCAATGGGCAGGCCCTGCTTGGGCGCCAGTTCGGTGCTCACACCGATCCTGTTGGCCGCCCGCTTGATGGCCGCCTCGATGATCTTGGTGGCACTGAAGACAGGCAGCTGGAGCCCGCTCTCCGTGGTGGGCATGTGCTCCGCGATGGGTCTGGGCACCTTGGGGCGGCTGGTGGTCAGCGAGAAGACCGCCGGAGAGGAGGTGTCATGCACTTGAGCGGGAGCCGCAGTGGTGCTGGTAGTGGTCGTAGTGCTGGTCGTGGATGTGGATGTGGATGTGGATGTAGAGGACGAGGTGGCCTGCAGCTGGCTCTCCAGCTGCTGCGACAGCTCGTTGGGCAGAGCCACGCCCAGTTTTTGCAGCTGTTGGGTGTTGTACAGCAGCTTCTGCAGCTCCTCCAAATCGCCCTTTTTGGGCCCAACTCTCGAGCTGGGCGTTGTGGGCGCCCTCCTGGCAGGCACAAAACGAGGATTGGCCGGCGTGGACGGCACCGTCTTGTAGATGGGCTGCATGTGCTGGTAGCTCTGGCGCTCGCCCGTATCCTCCAGGCTGCCGAGGAACTGCTGGAACTGGACAAAGTCTGGCGAGACTCCGCCGACTCCTCGCTGCGGATGCGCGGGCTGGCTCATGGCCAGTTCCCGCAGCTCCTCGCTGGAGGATTGAGTGGGCGTGGCCAGGGTGGGATTCGGCCTCTGGTAAACGGGCAGATCCAACTTTAGCTCGTGCTCCGGCTCCGGCTCCTGCTCCTGCTGCACCTCCTGCTCCTTGGCTGGCTGGGCATAGACGATGTGGGCTCCGTTGATGGTCTTCACATTTGGACTGCGCACCGAGGCGGCCGTGACCAGTTGGAACTGGGGCTGGGTCACGTGATCCGTCCGCAGCTGCACTCGCTCCAGCTCCTGCACCTTGCTTAACAGCTTCTGCAGCTGCACGTAGTCCTGGGGGCGCACCTCGTCCTGGAGCAGTCCGTTGCTCCGCTCGAAGTGGCTCAGCGGTCTCTGCCTGGCGGTGGAGGCAGCCGTGGAGATCTCCACTGCTCCTCTTCCGCCCGGCAGGAAGGAGGCGGAGGTCGGTGAGAGCGCCTGCAGGTGGGCAAAATCGTTGCTGGGTAGGGAGAACTCCGCCCTGGAGCCTGCCACGTTCCGGGTGAGGAAGTTGGGCGGCGTGGTGGTGGGCTGCTGCAGCTGCTCCAACTGCTGCACGCGGGTAATCAAGGCCTCGAACTGGGCATGGTCCACCGAGGGAGTGGGCTTAACCGTACTCGTGGTTGCCGGGGCGGCCGTAGTAGTAGTGGTAGTGGTAGTAGTTGTAGTAGTCGTCTTCGGCTGATGCTGCTTCTTCTTGCTGTTCCTGGCCTGCTCGTACAGCTTCTCCAACTCGCGATCGTCGCTCAACAGGCGCTGCAGCTGGAGCAGATCGACGGCACCCAGGGAGTTGGCCTGTCCCAATCCCAATCCCAAGCCCTGATTCCTCGAGGGCTTGACGGTTGTACTGGTCGTGCTCGTTGTGGTCCGGCTGGAATGCTCTAACTGCTGCAGCTGCTTCAGGATTCGCTGCAGCTCACGGGCTTCGTTTTGGGCGGGCGAGGGAGTGGTGGTGGTACTGGTGGTGCTGGTGGTGCTGGAGAACCGGCTGCTCAAGGACTGCACGCTCGGACTGGCTGCCTTAATCACGTTCTCCGGGTTGATCTTCAGCTTCTCCAGCTCCTGGAGATTCTGCAACAGCTTGGACAGTTCATCGGAGCTGGTGGGCGTGGGCTGGTGGTTGCCCGCGCTGGCATAGTTATGGTCTATATTCGGATCGATTCGCCGGCGTGGCTTCTTGGCCTCAATGAGCAGGGGTTCCCCATGGGTGATGAGTGGCTGTGGAGCCGGTGTGGTGGTCGTGGTGGTGCTGCTTGTGGTGCTGGTTGTGGTGCTGGTGGTGGTGCTCGTGGGAGCCTTCCTCTTGGGCTGCTGCGATTGTAGTCGCTCCAGTTCCTGCAGGTTCTCCAGCAGCTTGGCCAGCTCCGCGTTTCCCGTCGGCGGCAACCGGGCCGTGGCCGTGGACAGCTCCGTATGGGCACCGGTGGGCTCCTCCGTGGGCTTCGCCAGTCCCTCCTTCTTCAGGGCCTTCGGAGCCTTCTTCACAATCCCAAAGCGGGTCAGGTAACCCTCGATTTCGGGCTTCACCCGCAGCTCTTCACCAATGTTCAAGGGCTTGAAGTTTGAGTAGGCCTCCGGCCGGATGCGAGCTCCTTGGAGACCCCGCAGATCGGCCACCGCCACCACGGACGGCTGAGGGGCACTCTCCGCCGGGTAGAAGTCGTCCAGGGCATACCGCTTGTGGGCGGAGTCGCTCTTGCCGCCCGACACGATGCCCAGGCTTTCGAGGATGTCCGCCACGGGCTTCACCGTGCTGGTAGCGGTGGCGGTGGAGATGGAGGTGGCCGTGGGCTTGGGTTTCCTCAGGAACTGCGCGTTCTTGGCACTGTAGTGGGAGCTGAATCGATGGCTGGCAGGGTGCGGTGCAGGGATAGCTGGGATAGCTGCCGCCGTGACCGGCTTGAAGTCCTGGTAAACCACCGGCGGCGGAGCGGGCGGATGATAGGTGGTCGCCAGCGGCATGGGCCTGAACTGCTGCTGCAGGCCGTAGGATGGCTTGTAGGTGGTGGCCGCCACCGCTGGATTGCCCCCAGGCACCGTGCTCCGCGGCAGGGCACTGGGATCCGCGGTGAGGAACTTCACGGGATCCGGCGGCGTGTAGGCATCGATCACGCGCGTCACCGGAGGCCGCGTGTACAGCTCCTGCAGGTTCTCCTCCGTGTTGTTGTCCGTGTTGAAGGGCAGCACGAGCATGAGGGCGCGCATGCTGTCCGCCCGGCTCATGTCACCGGCCTCCAGGCTCTTCTCGTACTCCTCGCGGGTCACCTTCTCGTACAGCTCCTCGATCTCGCCACTGCGGTAATGGGTAGGAGGAGGGGAAGGGGGTTTCAGAATCGCCCTGGCTTTGTGTAGAGTACACACAGAATAAAGAAGCATGTGTAGAATCAACCATTTACTATATTGACTTAAACGGTCGTGGCCGCAGCCTACCCATAAAATGTTTGAGTAATTGTCCTGCTTCCTTTTTTTGCACATTTTTTTTTTTTATCTGTTGCTATTTTATTATTATCCTTTGTATTAATTATTTTATTATTTTCAGCGCTTCTATCTCGCGATCCGAGGCGGGACCCGAACTCAAATCTAATTCACAATTAATAATAGTACTTAGACTAATTCATAAAACAGCAAACTAAATGGCAAAATTAATTCGTCTTTCTACCATTTTGATTGTTATAAAACTATTTAATGGCTCAAAAATTAAACTTATGCTTGCTACGTTTGCAGACAACACAGCAGTCTTCTCGAGGGCAAACTGCATCTATGACGCCACAGACATCTTCAGTGCTACCTAAAACTTTTTGAGAATGGGGCCTGTAGCTGGAACATCTGCATCAACCCAGAGAAGTGCGCTGTGGTGTCGCACAGTCTGAGGAAGGATTCGTGTCGGGGAACTCCTGTTGCAGAAAAACGAGCACAAATATTGGATCCTCTCCTAACCTCCGCCAAGCACGTGAAGAATGTTTAATGCAACCTTGAGAGCAAAGCCAGGAAGCTGTACTGGCTACTTAAGACCAGAAACAAGCTCAGCTTGGCCAACAAAGTGCGCATCTACAAAGTTATCCTGGCACCAACCTGAAGATATGAAGTCCAGGTCTATGGCATGCGGCCCACAGCAATCTTGACCGCATCCGGACTTTCCAAAGCAAGTTCCTCCGCAGGATCTCTGAGGCAGAATGGTGCGTTCGCAACACGGACATTGCCAAAGAGCTGCAATCCCCGTGATAGTAGATGTCATTAATAAGCAAGCTGCATCATACCTTGCGATGCTTACATAACATCAAGACTGGCTGAACGACGAACCCGTAGATCTCCTAAACTATTACAAATCCTTACTTGTACCGTAGACAACAATAAGCAACAACCCCAAAATTTTGCACCCTCCCATCCCTATACTAAAAATTGCTATATAAGTGTATGGTATGGTACACCATATGGTATAAATCCATTAATATTGTTGTTATATAGTTAAAAAAAAATACACGACGATTTTGTGTGTAGTAAAGTAATCATTTTTCTGTGTTGATTTTACATATGCTTTTTTTCTGTGTGTAGTGTAAGCACTCACCGCGTTAACCTGGGCAAAGCCGGATCGTTGGCCAGGATCTTCTGCACCTCGTCGATCGTCTGCTCGATCTCTGGGGGCTGGAAGAAGCTCTTGTCCAGCTGCTGCCGAGCATTGCCGCCCTGGATGGTGGGCAGAGCCCGTGTCACGCCCCCCAGCTGAAGGAGGGCGACCAGCGCCAGGCACTCACGGATCATCCTCGTGGATCAGGTGGAAGACTGCAAGGAAAATACTGAAAAATATAGTTCTTAGATTGGTTTAATTCTCTATATAGCAAATATTTTTGGTTAACTTATTTTTTTTTTTATTAGATTGGTTTTTAAGTGACGTTTTCCGAAACACCTTTTGACCTTTTTAAATTCGATTTTGAAATAAAACACCCATTAAACGAATTCATATATATATATTTTTTTTTTACGTTGTTTATTTAATACTTGGTATATAAACTTGAATGTCATTAAATATTCAAACACCTCCTTTTGGAATACCCAACTCGCAGTTGCTCCATTTCAGTGGGTTGGGGTAATCGAATTCTCCCGTTACATGGTCGGGCTCATGCCAAAAGTGCCAAATTACCCACCACCACATGGCGCCGCCAACAATTGTCGCTCCCATTCTGGTTGCCTTAGAATGCGGCGGGGGGGGATTGCGGTAAGAAACGACATGACTTTCTCTTCGAATTACATTGCGTACATTGCGTGCCAAAATCCTGCGGCTCATACAACCGATTGGGGCTCGAAAATAATTTGCTTTAAGAGCAATATTCATAGTCTGCAAGAATTGTCAAAATATTCAGCGACAACAAAAATTATGTTCTTTCCTTTCGAAATACCTGCACTTTTGAGTCCTTGGCTCTTTTAACTGAAATTTCTTTTCGGAAAGTCTGCGTTTAAATGTTGTCTTGTAATTTAGGATAGATTTTCTTGAAATTTTAACAATGGCTTCCTATGTTTGTAGAAAACTGGCCTAAAACCAGCACTTCCAAGTATATAACTTTTCTTAAAGGTTCGTGGATTATTTTTCTTCAAATCTGCGTTTAGATGTTGGCTTGTAATTTCGGGTCGATTTTCTTGAAATTTTAACGATGTAACCCCTTTTTGTTTATACAAAAATTGTCTTTGCAGTTAAGTTGCTTAGGACCATAACTTTTCTTAAGCTCTCCGATTTTGAAAAGGCACACCTCTTAATGTAAATGGTTTAATTCCCTTCCAATTTGGGCCAATTTTATTGATGATCTCCTATTACAGGACTATGCATAAAGGTGTCTCAGACCTGCAAATGTTGTGCCCATAAGGTATGAAAAAACGAAATAGTTTTATTAAAAATATTTAAAAAGCTACAATTCCGAAGTTAGTTATTAAGTAATCTTTACTCGGACATCCCGTAAAAGTTTGGTCCACTGAAAGTAACTTGGCCAAAAGTAATATGACACCTTTCGCTTTCGTGTTTCTATCGATCTCGCCCTCTCGGTTTTGACTAACGACCCATCGACCAATCAAGCATATTAATTGCATATTAGCCCCCGTCTGACCACTTCCAGTTCGGTAGCCTCATGAACGTGGGTACGGGGTTTTTCACAATCACAGATCGCGACTTCTCGAGCGGATCAGCGGAGTGAGAAGCACAAATTTCCGCCCAGGAAAAGGCGAACGGGAGAAATAATAACCGACTGACAAAGAAATCAAATGAAATGCATGACAAATTTTCGTTAAGAGCTGACAGCGACGACGAAAGCAGAAAAAATATTACCCAAAGACGGCGACAAATATGTGGACAAGTGTACACGTTTATTTAACCAACGAAGGCAGCAAACAAGACGTAACTCAAAATCAGAAAACTGTTTCTGCGGGGCGACCGAGGTGGCAATTACTATCATTTGTTAAGATTTTCAAGGATTACGCAACCGGAGAGAGAGTGTGAGGATCCCAAGATCAGGATGAGGCTGATGCAAGAGCCGAATGCGAGGGAAATGGATGGCCATAAAAATGGAGTTGGAGAGGTGGAGAGTTGGAGCCTGCAGCGAAGATTTTGTCCAATTTATGGCGTGACGACTTTTCGGCGGCTAAGGAAGGATGAGGAGGGGAGAAGTAGGGGAGGTCGGTACTCCATATATATTGAACCTATCGGAGCGTTTAGTTTTCACTTAATTGTCGTAGTTAAATCATAAATTTAATGACAAAGACGTGGACGATGTTGTCCAGCAGCGAGGCCGTTGGCGGTATGAACTGTTAGATAATCTGGTCGAAAAGCTAGTTATGGCCGAGCTATGCCGCTCTAACTGAGCTGAACTGAACCAACTGAACCAACTGAACTGCGACTACGTGCCGGGCATACTAAACGAGCGACAAACGGGGCAAATTGCAGTCGGAATTGGGATTGGAATGGCGGTTGATCATCTCAGAGTACCTTTTGGAATGCTGTCGGTTGAGATACATATACGTAGTGCAGAGTTCTCTTTCTTGAGCTCCATTGGCAAATGGACTGCCAATCTGGCGGGCAACGACCCTTGTATATTTTGCTCCTCCACCATAGTGCAATGGTTGTTATGAATAGTCTCAGGAAGGGGTACAGAAATATAGTATAAATAATCAAACTATATTCCAATATCAGAGACATTTTGTTAAAATATCTGGAATATAACTCAAGTGGATGTTTCAAAATCATTGTCGCAAGCATAGAATGCAGTTATATAATTTTGACCGAGGAGAAATAACCACAGCCCTTGACTTCTTAAATACTCGTAATTCCATACCAAGACTTACTCATTGCGCTTCTAATATTAACAGGTTTTGATAGTTCAGTCCAAAATGCTTTACTCGCCTTACAAGGCGCATACGCAACTTAAATAAGGGGGAAAACTGATTTCAAATTTCATAATCCACATTACTTTGTGTGCTGACTTCATGCGTGTGTATGGACCGTATTACTCAAAACGCAAATAATTTGTTACCACGGCAGCAGCAATCTTGAGTGAGTGCATTTCCAATCCAGCAGAGAAAAACCACAATAGTCGAGACGATGATAATGGTGATGACGGCGCCGCTGAAGCGCAATGAGCCCAGAGCAACTGTGTGTGTGGTAACAATTAAATTCACTAATTCCATTATTAACTGCACAATAAAAAAACCTAGTCTGTGTCTGGGACACACTTCAGGCCAATTGAGTCGACTGCTCTACTTCATTTTCAACATTTTTCGATTCCATATTTTACGATCGTTATTAAATCGGACACCTCGTACGTTGAGGCGGAAGCATGCCGAAAGTCCGAGTTAAAGGCCTTGATCAAGGGCGAAATAGATCAGCATATGTAGGAAATGTTAAATAATAGTCAGTTTTCCTGCTAATGTAACTCGACTTCTGACAAAGCAATTAAAGTCAAACTTTGGAATCATCTGGCTTATAGAGAGGATGAAGTTAAAGTGTCACTTTGATGAGTGTTTAGCTTCTGATGGTTTTATGCAAATCAACTTTGGCTCTTCTACAACGATTTATCAGAAAACTTGTTGTAAGTTGTTTATTGTGACTTAAACGGTTGTGAAATACTTTACATATAAAATATTAGGAAACTAAGATAACTTGTTAAAATAGCTATCGCTAAGTGCCAAAATTGGATCAAAATCATTTGACAATACGGTACCAAACACATCGCACACATTTTGCTCCCAAGCCCTTGGCTCGAATGACTTTAACCCTGAACTTTTACGGCTTTTACAGTCACCCCTTTATTCCCAATCCCCACCCTTTGGCCAACAATCACACGGCAATTTACGGCAACAAGCGCGAAAAGAGAGGAAACAGTGGGCTTCATAAAACCAAAAGACAATTGTCTTCGGCCCAAGCGTCCACTTCATTACTTTGGCTTAATCAAGAGCAATGGGCACTTAGCCTTGCTTCAAGCTGGCCAACAGAGGTCAGGTTGATTAACTAGTCATTAATCTGGGCGTAGTCGAGAAGCAAAGTAAAGATAACTAAAGGGAAGCAGGTTGCAGCGGTATCGTTTCTTGGAAGTGTAATCTGAAAAAAATATTTCGAAAACTGTGTCAAAGCTTCCGGAGCAACCAAAAGACCCAGAAGAGTAAGTACATACTCCAGTCGAGTCCATGTCCTCATATTAACCTAACATATATCACTATCACTTTTTGCTAATTAGAGTTCCCAAAAATTATATAATTTAAGCTCATTCTCGGAAGTTTTCAATGTTAAATGTCTGCTGATGCCCCCACAAAATAAGGTCCCCGACATTCGTCTATGTCTCCTCCCTTTTTCATTCCTGGGAACCGGCTGAGGTGGGCTGTGGGTTGCTCTGAAGGTCACCTTTCTGGCTGCGCATCTTTAAAGCCATTTCCGGCTCTGGGTTTTGAATTAGCGTTGAGAAAGCGCTGCTCTCACTCCGAATCGGACGATTAGTCAGCCGACAGGCGACAAATTCGTCAGCACTCCATTATCTGCAGCCTCCACAGCACTTTTACTCCTAACCAGGCGGTTTTCCTCGTTTCGCCAGTCGCCAGACCAGTGGACCAGCTTGATCTCTTGTGGCAGCGGTGGATTCTATTTAAGCCAACATAGCCAGCCATAGCATATGACAAGTGAATGTTGTTTGGGCGGCCAGGAAAAGCCAGTAACTAGCCCCAAAACTGAGCCAAGTCGCTGATGAGGCGACTAACTTGGCCAACTGGCTTTGGCTTTACTTGGACGTTTGCTTTGGGTTTGGGTTTGGGCTTGGCTTTGATTTTAGATTTGGCTTCGCATTCGGGTTCGGACTTGGACTCGGGCTTATTTGGATCTATTTGACTTGTTTATTGGCACTTTTACCCAGTCGATTGATTTCTTGCCATAGCAGATGGCTAATTATTGTTTTTATTATTGTTCGCTCCTCTTCACTTTGTTTGTCAAGTTGTTTCGTTCGGTGTTGTTTCCCTTTTTATAGGCACTTTCACCAGCGGATTGCCGAAAAAACAACGACAGTAATATTAAATATTAAAATACTTTACATGCCTTTGCCTTTGCTTTTGCTTAATTTCCAAACGGCTTTTTTCTTATTTTAGTTTCCAGTTTATTTTGCTTTGGCTTGCTGCTATTATAAGCTATGAAAAGTGTCACTGGAATTATGTTGTTGTCGTTGTCTCACTGCCAGTTGTGGTGATTATAATGGAACGTAATTCACCAGGTTACTTAATTAGCCTGGTTTTTTTTTGTTTTGGTAAAGCGAATGGCTTTGAATTGAATACAAAGTATACCATTTAATAAAAGCTTTGCAAAGGTGTTTTGAGTTAAGTTACTTGACATTTTGCAGCCCTTAAGACATGAACCCTAAATAAAAGATGCTGTTAAAGCAAATATGATTGACTTTTCAATATTCCGATTTAGCTACTATAAGGTTTTGTAAGCAAAAAAATACGTAAAACAAGATTCGTAACTAAACAATTTACGGTTTAATAAAATCGCATTAAACCAAGCATTGCACATGCAACTCAATGCCCTTGTGTCAAGGTCGCTGAGGTGGTGCAGCCAATTCCATTCACGACTCACAAGTTCGTTGCCTAAGTCTTTTGTTTGCCGACTGCTTTTCACCACCAATCACAATGCACCCCCTCGCAATTTATAGTGGTCAACCATTTTCAATTACATTTTCAATTTTCGGCCGGTCACGTTCGCCGATCACTAGAAAATCCAAATTTAAAATCGAATCGAGACGCTTTTTCACAACTTCCAGAGGCGTCAAACTTTCAATGCACACACAGCACACAGTTAAAAAATGTATAAAAAGAAAAACCGAAATTAAATCGAAGCAAAACGCGAACACGCGACTGGCGCTTGGCTTCTGTATCGATTTCGGTTCGTTTTCGGGCTCAAGCGCATGCGCGGCCTGCAGACCATTTTCAATGAGCGTTCGCAGCGTACTGAGCCCGGCCGAAAGTCGTCTTGGCCAACTCCGCTGCCGCCACTGCCGCCACTATCGCCACTGCTGCCGCTGCCCCTTTTGCTGCCCCTTTTGCTGCCAACGCTGCTGCTGCTTCGACCTGTCTTTCAGAAGTCGGAGCTAGAAAATACTCGATCTTAAATATGGGCTCACTAAGACTAATTCGAAATGCATGAAAATGTTGTGTCAAATAGATACTAACTATTTATCTAACTTAAACGATTACATAAAATGCTTCATTGTTAAACCACTTAAATTAAGTAATGCAAAACAATACTTCTAAAAGCATTGTAAAAAAATTGATTCATGTTAGGTTGCAATGTTTTCTATCTCTATAAATATTTATTTGATAAACACAAACTAAAAAAAACCTTTAATAAGGAATATCTTAAACCTTTGTCGATCTCGAAATCAGTTTTTCACCATAGTCTTTTGTTTGTATACTCTGTAATTTATAGTTTAGGCAGTGTTTGGAAGTACCGAGAAATTTACGCACGCTTTTTTTTTGTTTTCTTTTAAATGTTTATATAATCAGATTTGTAATTTTTAACTTACATAGATACTTCATCAGTTGTGTACCTTTTACCTTTCCTATATATTTATTTTGCGAATATATTGTTTCTTACCTAGCTCCAAAACATTGACTTTAGGCAGCATAAAATGTACAACTTCTCCGATTAGTTGGTCGATCGCCGGCCAAAGTGGCTAGCTCGCCTTGACCAAGTACACTGCGAACCGCGATCAGGTGGAGTTTGGTGGGTCGGGGAAGGTGAACAGCATTCTGCCATGGACGGCAGACGGATGATAGATGCAGACAGGTTTCGGTGACGGGCATTTCACTTTGCCCAGCAGCCAGCCGCTTCTTCTAAGCTCTTTCCCCAATTGATAAAATCGATGCGTTTTTTCTCGCTTTCTGCTTCGAAAGATTGTTTTGGTTTTTTGTTACAATATGGCTCTGGTTGCATAATAAAGCGCACGCACAAGGAGAGTGGCCACTGGCCAGCTAAAGTCCCTCAATTGTCGATGGGCTTGAATGCACTTGAAGTCCAGTGGTTCCCATTAGTATAAGTTGAACAGTAGCCTCAGGGGGCTCGCCAGCCAAATGGTCAAAGAGTGGGTGTGTTCTGTGGTTGGGTTCTCACTAGTGGTCCCATTTAACAATATGCAGGCTCGAAAAGAAGATCTTAAAGTTTAAAATTAAATCCCACTCGAAGGACCAAAATTTCTTGGTGTGGCAGCAAGATTGCATTTCTATGGTTATAGTATTTTTTAAAATGCTATCTCGTAGAAGTCAAAGTCTTCTCGTTGTAATGAGTTTGTTTACATAAGTGCTCACGTATACCAAGTTTTTCGACCCCTCCCGCCTAGGTGCTCTACTAACTTTTGGGTTTAATTTGCGCTTGGCACGTTTAGCCTGAAAAAATTTAAGCAATTTTTGGTTATTTGTAACACTTGCCATTTAAACACAAAGATGTTTACCTCTGACTGGGGGAAGAGCCACGCCAAGCCGCCTTTTGTGTGTGACAGCATTTGACACAATTTAACGCTGACGCGACAAATTCGTCTGCGGTCTTGGCTTGGCTGAGCCGTGTGCCGTGCCTCACTCAAGTCGTTTTCGGGAGGGGTTGGTGGTATTTATTTGGTGCGCTTGCGCTTTGAGTTTGTCTTTTGCACAAACTGAAATTGCAACACGGAAAGCAACAAAGAGACCAAACAAAACTGAAACAACAAATTATAAACAAAAACTGAAACTGAAAAATGACATAGCCATAGCCCATAAACGCTTGACAAGACACGGCCAAAATGCTTTGCAGAATGGAGTGGGGCTTGGAATGGAACTTTGGAGCATCAAGCGAAATATGAAGTGCTTTTATGTGCCATGGATGAGCAAAGTGAAGTTGAGCAACGACAAACATAACTCGCTAGCTGAATACCTTCAGGACTTAAAGACTACACATCTTCTCGCAAAAGTTTATAACTCTTATGTCCTGAACTTAGCTAATTAAAGTTTCGTTTTTTCACAGCTTGCACGCGGGACTTCGATTTTTAATGTGAATGCTGTATCTGTTTACCCTTATTGAGCACTTAGTTTTATTAGGGCTTAACCATTTAAAATTTGGATAGAATGAAGAAACTTCACTACAGTAATATCAATTACTCTCAATCAAAGAACCTGCCGAAGCAACTGATTTAAATTTACACAATCGACTCGCTGCTGCACTTGTCGTCTTCCGCGCTCTCCCCTTTCTCCACCCCTTTCTCTGCTGTTGCTTTTACTTTATTCGGCCATTCACTTTCTCCACGTTTTGTTTGCTTTGCTAATTTCGGATCCGCAGCAACAATAAAACAACAACAACCGGGCTTCTCGCCCGGCAGCGAAAAGTGAAACAGACGGCCAGCAAAACGGACGCAAAGCTGCTGCTGCTTACACTGCTGCCGCTAAAAAGTCGTATGCAAAATTCCGAGAAATTATCCAATCGCGTGGCTAAGATTATCCAATTCGAGTCAATCCAATCTAAATCAAATCCGATTGCGAAATATGCATAAATGCATGCATATGTGAATTCATGATCCAATACCGATCGGACCGCTAGTAATGACCCCTCCCCAGTGATTTCGACACCTGCTAATGGTGCTCCAATTCTAAAGCCTATAACCGAACCCAGCGGCAATTACCTTACAATGCCAAGTTCATTGCTCAAGTCTTTCGATTTCGGGAGAGGCGGTAGTCCCCATCAAATCGACAAGAAACAAGGCTAAATCAATCGAATAATCGCTATTTTAAGGTAGAGCGAAATTACTTCTAAATTGATATACTTGTTATAATTATAAACCTATCGAAACCTTTATTTTTAAATTATATTAAATGATGATTAAATTTCCCACAGCTGACTGTCTTACATAATCCGGACCAGACTGTGAAAAAAAGCAAACACTGGAAACTCGAGGTGAACTCGAGAACCTCCACATCGTCCCTCCTTTTTCCGTATGTCCCCGTTTTCGGCCAGAATAAACAGGAAGTTCCTTTAAGTTCCCCGGGAAATCTATTCAAAATTGGGAACATGCTTCTCCGGATCTCAGGTGATTGGAGCGTATTCAATTGGTTTGCATTTGATTTAAATGACCCAAAAGAAAAACTGAAAGTTGACGAACGTAGCAGAGCAAAGTAACAATTCAAAACCGGCTTTATTGTACGTATATATACATTTAAATATTACGTATCCGATCAAAGATAATGTTCTTTAGGTGTATGAATGAAACTCTTTTCCTACAAATGCCTGTACTCCATGTTTAAAAAAACTCAAGAAATTACAAGATACATCTATTGGGTTCTTTAAGTTTTAAGACATAACAAAGTGGCAGACAGCAGTAAAATATTAAATCACTTGCATTAGCTTTTATTGACAATTTTAAAATTTTATATTTTGAATATTTGAACAAGATTATAAGACACATTATAATGTGTCTCAGTGTTAAGATATATGAATGTTCCGTAATTTTCATCTTAGAGGTATAAATATATAAAACTTCTGTTATTTTCATTAAGGAGCTTACAATATTTTAGTTACAATTCCAAGTCTAGAGATTCTCTATTTTAAAAAACCGTTAAAACAGTAGTAAAGTTTTTTACGAATGCAGGCACATCTTAGGAAAACTAAGGTTTCGGTTTTTTATTTATTTAAAATGAACATTAATAAATAGATATATATAATAAATGTTTATATGTTCAAAAAATTTGAATGGCTGTAACTTTTTTATTTTAAAATGGTATTAATGGTATATTTCCATTGCTACAACAGTATGTTTTTCAGCTTGGTGTCTGGTCACACTATTTTGGGGCCAGCTGTTCGCGCATGCATGTGTGTGGGTGAGGATTTATTCAAGATAAATGAAAATCGGCAGTTTCGGGGGATATACGATTTTACATAAGTTGGTCATGTCGGCACAAACATAGCACCACAGATCGAGATCGATCGGATTGGATCCACCTCGCCTCTCCCCGCATCTCCGAAAATCGGAAGAAAAATAAAGAAGAAGACGACTGTGTGTGAGTGTGTGAATGTTCATGCGTGTGTGTGTGTGTATGAAAAACCAGCAACTGAAAATATAACCAAAAATAAAACCCAGGCGCACAGTTGCAGGCGAGGATTCCCACTCCCGTTACCATTCCTCCAGGTGAAGCAGCCCGTGAGATCCCGAAGCTTTTGCGCATTTCCGGAGGTTTAGGCCAGGATGGCGGATGCCCAGGCAGCGGCGGCCGGAAAGAAAAAGTTCAAGAACAAGAAGAAGGCGACGGAAAAGAATACCAATCCCAATCCGAGTCCCAGTGGCCTAGTGACTGAGGCAGTCAGCAATGGACATGCCCAACCGGAGGTGGAGGAACTGAAGGGTCTGATCAAGCAGCTGCACCTTTGCAATGGCCATGGCCCCAAGGAGCAGGCTCCTTCTCCGTCATTGGAGGTGCCTAATGGCCATGCCCATTGCCACAGCAACAACAATCACATAAGGAGCACTAGCGGCAGCAACAACAACAGCAGCAGTCACAACAACAACAGCGTGGACAACAGCAACAACAACAGCAGCAGCAGCAAGCTGGGGGGAGAAGGTGCGGGTGCAGCAGATGCCCTCCATCTGGATCCAGAGGAGGAGGAGGAGGAAGAGAAGAAGCCCATAATAGCCACAAACAAAACCACTGCCAACACACAACCAACAACCACAGTAGTGGAAAAGGAAGTGCAAGTGGCGACGGGGAGTGGCAAAAGCCAGGACGGGGAGGAGGAGCCGGAGCCCCAGTCCTCCACCTCAGTGGAGGTCACGCCCACCATCACAGTAGAGCCCCAGCTGCCAGAACCTGCCATTTCAGCCGACGAGATCGTGTACAAGGAGTACGAGGCCGAGCACCAAATGCATGTGAGTAGTCAGGTCCAGCCACAGGCTATTTTAATTACTAATCCGCCGTGCACATTCGCAGGACATCATGCGACTG